CCCCTCCAACCCCCCTTTAAACCACCACTACCTTTCTCAGTGTTGAGAAAAATGGGAATGTACGTCAAAACGCATTTTTCGGGGGTCTGGACAAGGCTCGGGGAAGTGTTGGGCCTCATGGGCCCATTTGTAAAAAGTGAAACGGTTTTCACCTCTACGGTAGCAGATGCAGTACCCAGGGCTCAATCCCTAGACCTCCCCTTTCTCCATGTACAGTACCAGTTGACCCGTGTGTGTATGAACCCGCAACCTGTGTACTGAAAGTCGTATGTTTAGCTGTTGTATACTGTGTGGTCTCCGGCTCTTGAACCGTAGGTCTGAGCATAAGAGGTCTTAGTAATAGCACAAGTCATAGCTGCTACAGTCACGAAAGGTCAATTCTGCGACCTTCCGGGAGTTCTGGAAGTGACCCTTCGTGAGCCCTAGAGTCATTCCGCGGTTGAGTCAGCGAGCGGCAGTCCTACTACAGTCAAGGGCAGTCCCAGTCCTACCTAGCCTAGTCAGCGGTACCCAGTCCCAGGTCGCACTTTGTCCAGTCATCATATACCGTGTGGGACTGTGCATACCCCGGGCCAGGGTCCAAGGGCAGACCTTTGACAATCCGAAGTATAACTAAAGAGGCAGCGTCAAGACATTCATTGATTCTGCCTGTGAGCCATGCGGAAGTGCTGTCTGTGTGTCTTGTGTACGAAGGTCTGCAGGTGCCCGAAGAGGAAGTGGGCTAAGAGGAGGAAGACGGCAGCCATAGCTGCCAGTTAGGAGAGTTAGTGTGTGTGTACCTACGTGTGTTGTGTGTGTGCAGACAAGTTGCTGGGAGTACAGTGAACGGCCATAGCCGTACAAGACAAGTTTGAATCTGAACTGTGTGCCTGGCTACGTCATCTCTGGGCTTTGTGTGGGCGCAAGTCGCCAGTTCGTTCGTCATCTGTTTGTATGCATGCTGAGAATCGAAGAGGACAAGTCTGAATGCAAAAATAACAGAATAGTTTGTCGTCCACGTTTTGGTCCTCGGACATTGAATTTTCCAAGATCAATTGTTATCAATCAACGGTAATAAAGCTGAGATTGGTGTTGATGTGAGCAGGTGAAGTGGCGAGACAGGGTTTAAAAATTATGCACATGCACGCACTTCCTCTTTCTTCTTCTTCTTCTTCTTCTTCTTCTGCTCTCTCTCTCTCCCTTCTCTTTTCTCCATTATCTGATGTCAATGCTGAGTAACAATTCATTGGGTTGGAGACTGAACTTCCAACATTGAAACAGGGAGAAGCGAAGTACCATAACAGGTGGCACCAGACACATGCTTAAATGTACTAGTCAGTTGAAGATTCAAAAATGTGCCCAAAGCCAAGGAGAAAAACAGCAATGTAGTACCTGCTCCGTGATACCGTGAAGCACTTGAAGTTGCATCACCGCCCTTCACTTGCACATCAGCCTTCATGTCCAAACTGACCATCCGATCATCAGCAGTGAGAAACTCTCCGTTTCTGAGACACCAGCCATACAGTGGATTACCCAAAACGTCAGCCAAGGAGTGACACAAGCCTCCCTTGGACCTCCTCCCATTGCTGCCCATCCACCCTCTTGTAATCTCCTCTGTCGTGGGAGACTCTCCACCCAGAGATGCCCTTCTCATCCTCCTCTTCTCCAACTCTTGCCATCTCTCCCATCTTAAGACCCCTATGGGCCCATCATTTCCAGTAAGGTTGTTCATGTGGGTCTCTCGTGCTCTAACCACCAGCCCAGGCATCTTCCGTGAGAACTTCACCAAATCTTGTTTCTGCAGACGCTGGCAACCTGTGACATCCAGTTCTTGTAATTCTCGTTGAGCGGTCAACACCTCCAGACCAGCAATTGTCACTGCCGAGAAGAACAGGCCGAGATGGGTCAACCTGGACAGATTTGACAGAGCTGGAAGAAGCTCATCACCTGGAAGCGTGACCTCGAGGCGTCGCAATCCTCTTAGAACTCGAATCTTCGAAAACTGGTAATCATGGAGTTTGGCACCCCAAAGAATCAGAGTGTGAAGAAAGTGTAGATTCTCAAGCAGCTCAATTGAACCTGGAAAAAGCACAACGTCCACATGCAATCCCGGAAGCATATCCAGGTTAAAAGTCTATTGGACCTGTTTCAATCTCCCCTGTCACAGTCTCCCGGAGGAGATTGACTATGCAGCAGACTGCTACCTGCAACAACTAATAAGATCACCCAGCAGGGCTTCACCCATATGGTAAGGGGGCATTGGTGCACATCAGAAACTCCAGCCGCTTTCCTGCTCTCGCATCGAGGTCTAGGTGGGAGAACAAGGACCATTATATGCCTCCTTTGGTTCCAGTTGTTGCTCATTAAGTTCCAAATTTCCAGTTGTTGCTCGTTAAGTTCCAAATTTCCAGTTGTTGTTCGTCAAGTTCCAAATTTCCAGTCGTTGCTCGTTAAGTTACAAATTTCCAGTTGTTGCTCGTTAAGTTCAGCTTCATAATTGTCAGTGACATGCACTTACTAATGCCATTCACATCTTGACATGTACATACTGCCATTTCTATCTTATTCTCAAGAAATTGAGGATGAATACACATGCAAGAGCCATTAAACGAAGTCAAGACATTGCTGAATCACACATCGTGTCGGTTGTGTGACGCTATCTGAGTGAGATGACAAGTTCGAAAATCGTTAAATGCATTTGACAGGCTCAATTACTACCCACTAGGACTTCTTGGTGGAAGGCAACGCGGCAAGTCCACAGGGTGCTTTGGACCACACGTTCGCTCCCACAGACCCTGGAAAAGGAGTTCTGAAAGGAAAGAAAAAACTCCAAACAGAAGTGGAGGAATAATAGAGAAGGGGCCAAAAATAACAGAAAGAGAGAGTCGGTTATTGCTTTCTCTCTGCGCAAACAGAGAGTTCATAAACCCCCCCAAAAAAATGGAGACAACTGAAAAACAGTGGAGACGGAAATTCGGTGGAATTGCCAAACAGATACATCCACAGAGGCCAGGAAGGGGAAAACAAGAGTAGAACAGCCATTTCCCACGGGCGAACACCATTCTCTGAGAACTGCAAGGACAATGCAAAACAAATGAAAGAAACACAGCATCAATCTGCTTGACACTCTTTCAGCCCAATCATGGCGAAGTTCATCTGTGGAGAAGGCAGAAAAGAGCACGCAAGTGTTACATGCTGATCCAGCATACGGGCCCCGTTTCGGGGGCCCGACGGTTGCTGGGGGCCCCAAGGCCGCATGCCATCCAGGCACGCGCCCCGGAGGCCCGCGGCCAGCCTTAGGGCCGCAGGATCCGATTTGAGGCAGAATTGGTTTATTTTAATTATTTATTTGTTTATTTATGCAAGGAATATGAGCGAGAGCTATAGACAGAAATACAAGTTGCAAAATCACGCAGAAGTCCAGATAGTCATGTACCAAGCAGAGAGCTCAAATGCACCAAGATTCCATCCACCTAAGAGCAAAGCAGTGAACTCGTGTGCCAATGTTATCGCCCTCAGGCACCACCAACACAGTATCCAATGTCACTCGTCTCTGTCTGACGCCCAGTGCCCAGCCTACTCTACTGAGCCTATTCAGCCTATCTACATTCGTGTAACAGGATCACTTCCGACGTTGAACACCAATGCCGACCTCCCACATACACCAGGTACGTTCCCTCTCCTCCCCTCATCAGACCTTGACCACCCACTCATGCGCCTCCTATCCGAAGACCACCTTAGCCCATCACCCGCATGGCTGCCGTGCGACCGCTGCCTGGCAGTGCCCCTCTCACCTCATAACGCCCACATGCGCCCCAGCCAGCAGCGAGCATGCAGACACTTGCACAGAAACGCAGCAGCGTGTCCGCATTGCCTGCCTAAGCCAGAATGCCCTGCCTCTGGCCAGTGACCTTCCTACATTACCGCATACATCTTTTTTTTTTCTTTTTTTTTTTCAAAGCTATACTCCTCTCAATTTCACCTCACACTACCTACCTACCACTACTACTAATTGTAGGCATACGGGGAACCTCGTAGCAGCCAGAACCGTGTTCACGAGAGAACATGCGGGGGCTGCTCCCGACCTCCAGGTGGGCGATACCGGCTAGGGGACAGCCGGTAGCATCAGGAACCATGCCAACAGGACCAATCCCTATGCCTCCCCTCAGGTCCCCTCCCCTACGAACATCAGCAGACTCTGCTCAATGCCGATCAGGGGATCCAGTGTTCTATCTCTAGGTGGCGGGCGCCAAGCATGGCCAGGAAGGTACATGAGCCCAATGGGGATTGAACCCACGACCTCCTGAATGCCACTTGCGAGCCTTACCAACTGAATTAAGCTTTATTTTGATTAGTTGAGCTGTGACAGACTGCTAACACCTAACAGACGACATTAGTTTAGAACTGTAGTAGTGTACCATTGCCAGTTCTATGTGATGCTGCTGTAGGACTAATCGAAGCAGGAGTAAATCATTTGCTCAGTCTGTGTATAAACTGTTGGCACCACTTGATCGGTCGCCCGAGTGACTTGCCAAATATTTACTTATTTATTTTTAATTATTTTCAGCTTGGTCAGACACATGCTGTGGTAGGCTCCAGTGAGGACACTAGTGCAGACAGTGATCTGCTTAGCTGATGAGCGGTACAGTAGTGGTGAAGGGACAACTGACGATAGGAGTCAAACACAGCGGGATACACAAAGAATTCCCATAGTGTTTCAGGTTCTGCTACCAGGGGACGAGAGAAGGTTCCGGGCCGAAGCAAGGGCCCAACATTTGCAGACTGCTAGGGAGGCAGCAGCAGCTAGCGCAGTAGTGATGGCTACACCTGCAGCGACCTCTCAAGGTCAGCAGACATCAGGAACCTTAGCTAGTTCCTCCGCCTCATCCAGTGGGATGAGTGCAGGACCTTCCACAAGTCAGATGGCGGGCTCTCAGTACAGCTCGCCACCTCCACGCACTAGAGAGGCCATAGAACTCCGGCAAGTTGAGTTAATCCGCTTACGGCTAGAGAAGGAACTTAGGGAAGCTACCGAAAGAGAAGATGAGATTAGACATAGGAAAGCAAATGAGATTAGAAATAGGAAAGCCAGATTAGAGAGCAGAAGGGATGACTCGAACCTTGCCAGCTACTGAATGCCATGCAGACAAGTGGAGGACCACATCCCTCCTTAGCTGGTGGGCCCAGTGTCCGGCCGCAGGCAGCGTTTCGATCGTCAGTAGTAACACCGGCGATGACAGGCCCATTTGCCCCTCAATTTGGTACCCCACCAAGTGGCACGACAGCAGCAGCAGCACAGACTTCTGCTTCATCATCGTCAAATCCAGGTGCTGCCGTTACCGGGCAGCATCCAGTTCCACAAATGGGACTGCAGCACCCTTGGTAACCCAAGACTCCACTGAAACCAGGAGATAAGAAGGACGAGGTTTTTGACACATGGTTGAGGATGGTTCCAGAGTGGGTTAGGGCGAAGAGGACATTGCTAGAAGAAGGGGTGATCACTGCTGCCTCATTCTTGAGGGATCGGCGAGATGGCTAGATGGAATAGTGGCATCCGAGGGGTTCGGCCTGAGGATGAATGATTGGACAAAGACCCACTGACGCACGTCCAGTGGGACAATGCGCAGGGAGCCAAGGATCCGCTATGTGATGAAAAGGACTGAAATGGACAATGCAAGGTCAGCATAGCATCAACAAGCAATGTACATTCCGAATACATACAGATGGCGCAAAATGGCACAGCGGAAGTTTTAAAGAGAAGATCTGATCCGATCTGGACTGACCCGACATCCATCACACATCACACATGAGAGAGAGGGAGGAGGGACCGCAATTATGGAAGAAAGGTCCCTCCTGCGTGCATATACATGGGGAGATACCACGGATGAGAGATGGGGGAGGGACGAGATGAAGAGGAAGGAGGCGAGGGAGTAGACCAAGATC